TTTTGAGCTTTGCCAAAAGCCACTGTGTCAAGTGTCCTACTTGGGTTGCCGTACCGGGTTGTCCAATATGGCGGACCATCTCGCACATGCGCACTGCAGATCGGGCAGGGCTGCAGACCGGGGTAGTGACACCCTTATCACCTGAATCTCCTCCTAGAGCACCATTGTGTTATTTTTAACCAAATATCTCTCAGAGGGGCGTGGGGAGGGGCTCCTTATCTTCATCTAAAGTAACAGACAGAGAATCAGCACTTTTGAAACAGGGATTATGGGATGCTGCAATGCATGATCCGTTTGGTATTTGGAGCCAAACCCTTCAGAGACAAGTTTTGTATATATATCTGAGACCTATAATATATTGATGAAAAACAGTATAATAGGCAACCTTTAAAGTATATGCATAAACGAAAAGCAGTTACTGTATGTGCAAAACTACAGTGTTTGTAATTTTGTTATAAACAGAACAGCTTACATGTGAGTGCGTCATCACTTACCCATGCCGTATTTCATCGCAAAAGGGGATCTGAGGATGGGGCCGAGCTGCTTGGGGTCTCCTGCCAGAACAACCTGACCAGTCGCTGCATTGAGGAGCCCTTTATAACACAATAAACTAAAATTAACCAACACATACGAAGTTTAATTCAATAACAGAAAAACACACTGCTTGTTTCCTTTTACCTGCCAATGGGACTAAGCTCTCGGTCTCCACAGAGTGTCCTGCCTCGTCCACAAACACGTGAGTGAAATGACCATCAGGAATGTCTCCTGTGACCAGCCTGCAGAAATCAGAGAGTTCATAAAATACAGTAAAAGCTCCTCCATAGAAGTTCATCTGAGGAGTTGACTGTTAGTAATTTGGATGTGAATACTGCAAAATAAAATTGTGAAATGTAATTTTGATGCCGTCATGCAGTTGAGAATGTCATTCACTACCTTCCAGCTGTTAACAGAGTGGTGACCATGATCCTATACTCCATCAGCTTCTCTTTAGCAGGATAAAGGTAACTATCCACTAACAGGTTAGAGCATGCCTGTGAAAGTACCACAAAAACTCCATTAGGCTATAAAAAGACACTAACATAAAAAGCAACACAAAATGCAGCAGTATTACAAAGAGCACGTAAGTCAATGGTCCCGTAACATCTGAAGCCACTGCTATGCATCACAACTCGCACTATGGTGTACATAATCTAACTGTGACCACATGACTGAGAGTGAATGATGTTACATCAAATAAATATGATAATGCGATTAATGAATGGGCACTGACTATGACTTCTTTCGGGACATAGTCTGGGTCGCGGCTGCTGGCGTACATGCGGAACACTTTGTGCTCGTCAACGTGCTGCAGGATCTTCATGCAGAGCAGATCAGCAGCGCTGTTGGAGGGAGCGCAGGCCAGGATGTGGCAGGTGGCTTCCCTCTTCTCTATCTGCTTGATCGCCTCCACCACAGTCACAGTTTTGCCTAAACAGAAATGGAACAGTCAAGGCAAGTGTGTTTAAATGTATGGCTTTGTGCACAGCTAGTATGATATCAGATCAAACCTAAATTGCTTAAACAATGGGGTGCACTGTATGTTAATTTGTCTCCCTTGAAGACGAGACAAATTGATATGCTGGTAATTGCTGTACCTGTTCCGGGCGGGCCAAACACCAGGTAAGGGGCCGGTTTGGAGGAGCCATTCACAATGTGCTGTACGGCCTTCAACTGCTCTTCGTTTGCCTCCAGTTTGCGGTCAAAAAGCCTGTTCACATGAAGATAGAGGAACAAAAGTACCATGTGATGAAAGAGTCATTGTGAACGCACAGTAAATCTCATTAAATGCTTAGGAAGTTTCCTAACCGAGAAAGAAAATGTGCTTCGAGGCTTCCTTTCTTATGACCTTTAGCATAGGGTACAAGGGAGCATCCTTAGATGGAGCTACACATTTGAAAGCCCCCTCTAAAAAAAACAATTGCTCTGATCCCAACATTGTCCTCTTATTGAGGTTACTGTCTGTGTCGTGTTCATGCTGTATTAAGACTGCAACAGACTTCTTCCATGTACAAGTAAAAGAATTCACAGGGTTTGCTTAGCAATGTTGCATAACCAATTATTTTAAACCGACATGGACTTTGAATACAGCATTTAGCGCTGAAATAGCCAGCTCAAACATGAATATCTATATAACATTAGATACAGTCTTCAGTATATGCTAGCATGCCTCACTTGAGGTCGGGAAGCTCAGTTTGCTGGGAGGGGTCAGCAGTTGCCACGGGGAACAACACCTCTCCCAGTTTGAACACAGCTGCCAGCTCTGCCGCTCGGTGCTGAACACGCACAGTCAGCCGGTTGACAGTGAACTCAACATTGAACTTCATGTTGTCTATGAAGTGATCCAGCAACCTGCAAACACACAACAAACAGTGTGACTCTTAGATAATAAAAAAAAACGTAATATAATAAATCAATACTTTTATTTGCTAATTATAGTATGTTAGAATAATGTAGGGATCTTACTTTGAGCTGAAACCGAGTTTGACGCTGTCCAGAAGCACACTATGGACATAACCGCGGTACTTCACCTTCTTTTCTCCGGCAGGGTACACCAGCAGGGAATCCCCCCGGAGAACAGACGGGCGGTTCTCAGCTACACCGGGCAACTGACACGAGAAAGTGAAACAGGAAGGAAGAGAATATGCAGGTGAATATAATGCAATGTTTATTAAATTCACTTTAAATGTATTTTATCTTCATCATATTGCATCATAAACTGCTCTCAGAGATGTATGATTAACAGTCAGTACATTGCTCACCCACTACCATCACATACTGTAAAGACGCCTGTAATGAATGGATATCAATGGCTTAAATACGTGAAACATACACAATCACATCACTAATGCTTGCTTTATATGGCTTAAAGGTCACCTATTACGCAAAAAACACTTTTTCATGTCTTGAATACATAAATATGTGTCCCCTCTGCGTTAAGACATTATATTCTAAGTATAAAAACCTGTCTTAAAATGAGCTCATCAGATTTTGGCCACTTTATGATGTCATAACGATTTTTTTGGCTTGTGTAACCATTAGCCAATCACCAACCAAGGTAACCCCCCCCCCTCACCTTATCACTTGAATCCTTGAATCGTCGGTCCTCCGGTAGTGACCCGGAAATGAATTTCAGCGCGCCATGTTGAAGGACATCTCATTTCTCTAAATGCACTTCGAGGATCGAGCGCCGAGGAGGCTCTCTGGAGGAGCTATAACCAAGGATACACTGATGGGTCCTCCACGGTCCTCCACGGCTCCTTCGTGGATACATTTCCGGGAAAAGATGTTTCAAAGAGTCGTGACGCACGGCC